ACTTACACCACCACCCTATACACTGCAACACTTGCCACCACCACCCCACACACTGTAACACTTGCCGCAACCACCACCCCACACATATTGTAACACTTGCCACCACAACCCCACACATGCTGCAACACTTGCCACCACCACCACCCCACACACTGAATCACTTGCCACAACGCACCCCACGCACTGTAACACTTGCCACCACCACCCTACACACACTGTAACACTTGCAACCACCACCCAACACACACTGCAACACTTGCCACCACTACCCCACACACTGTAACACTAGCCACCAGCACCCTATAAACACGGCAACACTTACCACCACCACCACCCACTCACTGTAACACTTGCCACCACCACCCCACACACTGCAACACTTGCCACCACCACCCCACACACTGTAACACTTGCCACAACCACCCCACACACTGTAACACTTGCCACCACCACCCCACACACTGTAACACTTGCCACAACCACCCCACACACTGTAACACTTGCCACCATCACCCCACACACTGTAACACTTGCCACCACCACCCCATGTACCGCAACACTTGCCACCACCACCGCATACACTGCAACATTTGCCACCACCACCCAATGCACTGAAACACTTGCCACCACCACCCCATACACTGCAACACTTGCCACCACCACCCCACTCACTGTAACACCTGCCATTACCACCCCATACACTGCAACACTTGCCACCACCTCCCTATGCACTTCAACACTTTCCACCACCACCCCATACACTGCAACACTTGCCACCACCACCCTACACACTGTAACACGTGCCACCACCCTACACACTGCAACACTTGCCACCACCACCCCATGCACTGCAACACTTGCCACCACCATCACATACACTGCAACACTTGCCACCACCACCACCTGCACTGCGACACCTGCCACTACCATCACATACACTGCAACACTTGCCACCACCACCACCTGCACTGCAACACCTGCCACTACCACCGCATACACTGCAACACTTGCCACCACCACCCCATGAACTGCAACACTTGCCACCACCACCCCATACACTGCAACACTTGCCACCACCACCCCATAAAAGGTAACCTGTGCCACCATCACCCCACACACGGTAACACTTGCCGCCACCACCACCCCATACACTGCACCACTGGCCACCACCACCCCACACACTGTACCACTTGCCACCACCACCACCCCACACACTGTAACACTTGCCACCTCCACCACCCAATACACTGCAACAGTTGCCACCACCACCCCATACACTGTAACACTTGCCACCGCCACCCCACACACTGTAACACTTGCCACAACGATCCCACACACACTGTAACACTTGCCACCACCACCACCACCCCACACACACTGTAACACTTGCCACCACCATCACCCCATAAACTGTAACACTTGCCACCACCACCCCACTCACACTCTGCAACACTTGCCATCACCACCCCACACACTGCAACATTTGCCACCACCACCCCCACACATTGTAACATTTGCCACCATCACCCCACTCACGCTCTGCAACACTTGCCATCACCACCCCATACACTGCAACACTTGCCACCACCACCCCACAAAGTGGAACACTTGCCACCACCTCACACACTGCAACACTTGCCACCCCCACCCAATACACTGCAACACTCTCCACCACCACCCCACACACTGCAACACTTGCCACCACCACCCCATATACTGCAACACTTGCCACCACCATCACCCCATGCACTGCAACACTTGTCACCACCACCCCACACACTGTAACACTTGCCACCACCACCCCACACACTGCAACACTTGCCATAACATCCCCACACACTGCAACACTTGTCACCACCACCCCACACACTGCAACACTTGCCATAACAACCCCACACACTGTAACACTTGCCACCACCCCACACACTGCAACACTTGCCATAACATCCCCACACACTGCAACACTTGCCCCCCCTCTCCCTCTCCACACACTCACACACTAAAGCCCACATCACTCACGCAACACTGCGCCAAGGGTCATATCAGATACAAGTTGCAACCTGGAGCACTAATGCAAAATGCAAGAATTGAATTACATTTCATAGCGAGTATTTCACTCAGCTTGGACAATCATAATATATTTATGACGGAAAATAAAATTCAACACATTTTCTCTAATGGTTTTTCGTTATTTCTGTATGTGTCATATTAATACAAGAAGATTCAATTATCTTATCTTTCACGCTGATAAGAGTTTCCTTTTTTCTCGCTAACTAGGAAGTAATGTTCACATTTCCACTTCTTTCCTGATTTCTACTTATCCGGCCTCTTGGTGTTTTCCTTTCGCTTGTTTCTAATGCCTTCTTTACCACTTATAATATTTTCATGTGTTTATATTTAATATTCTCATTTGCTTTTTAAACAATTTCTTTGTTCTATTTTCTAACTTTTTTCTAAATAGTTTCCAGTTTTTTGGCTTCTTAGTGACTTTTGTTTCCTTTAAGTTCCTCATTACCTGTTATGAATAGCTGTTTTGTCGTATCTTAATACTATCGTACAGGCTTCCATTGACCCTCAGTCTCAACTGTAATTTATTTATTTTTCGTGTTCTCATCTGTTTTTAATTTTCTGCCCCGTCAAAATATATAATCAGCCAACCACCTGGGCAACCATATAATCACCTAGCTAACTACCCATCCGTCTAGCCAGCCAGGTACTTAACGAGTCATCTAACGATTCATTTAACCATCCAAAGTGCCAGTTACGTGCCACCCAGCCAGACCAAGTCATCTTCCCAGCAAGATACAACCACCCGATACATTGACCAGCAAGAGACAGCCAGCCGACACATCGACCAGCAAGAGACAGCCAGCCGACACATCGACCAGCAAGAGACAGCCAGCCGACACATCGACCAGCTAACCACCTTCAGAATATACATTTGTATGTACTGTAGGTGCTGCTCTGACCGGCATTTGAGTGCTGCCAGCCTGGCTTGACCGAGCCGAGCCGCGGTCGAGCCCACATCTTGCAGATAATATTGCACATGCATGACACACAGCCCACCTGCACCGCGAGCAGATGGCACCATCCCTCACCGCTCACAGAAACACCATGTGTCAGCGCCTCTCCACAATTCCCAGAGTACGTAGTCTCAGGTACATATGTGGATGCTCACATGTGTTTACTAGTTGTGTTTTTGCGGGGGTTGAGCTTTGCTCTTTCGGCCCGCCTCTCAACTGTCAATCAACTGTTTACTAACTAACTACTAACTTACTATTTTTTTTTCCCCACACCACACACACACACACACACACCCCAGGAAGCAGCCCGTGACAGCTGACTAACTCCCAGGTACCTATTTACTGCTAGGTAACAGGGGCACTTAGGGTGAAAGAAACTTTGCCCATTTGTTTCTGCCTCGTGCGGGAATCGAACCCGTGCCACAGAATTACGTGTCCTGCGCGCTATCCACCAGGCTACGAGGCCCCCTAAATGCCCCCTAATGTGCGCGCTCATATGTGCTCGTGAATGTGCACCTCACCTCAACCACCCGAGTTGAGTTGTATTAATTAATACACTCTAATTTGTATTAAATAACCTAAATTATTAGAGCATATGTAACCTCATACACAAAACCTAAATTCCCAGAGTATTCTTAACCTAAATTCCCAAAGTATACATAAATGATCCACGTAGAGGAGACAGTATTAACATGTATTAACACCCAGGTACCTATTTTACTGCTAGGTAACAGGGGCATAGGGTGAAAGAAACTTTGCCCATTGTTTCTCGCCGGCGCCTGGGATCGAACCCAGGACCACAGGATCACAAGTCCAGCGTGCTGTCCACTCGGCCGACCGGCTGCCATACACAAAGTTGATTACCAGTTGACTGACAGTTGAGAGGCGGGACCAAAGAGCCAAAGCTCAACCTCCGCAAGCACAACCCCCGCAAGCACAACTAGCCCGCCAAACACACACCGAAACTACGACGTTGGTACAACGTTCGAACAAGTATTAACACCTCCTAACCAGTTAAAACAACCAATATAGCAAGTTGTAACAACGTTCTAATACGTCATAAACACGTTAAGCCAAGATGAAACAACTTTACTACAAGTTGTAACAAGCGGAAAATAGAGACAGTTTCGGTTTGTGTTTCCAGGGAGGTGAGTACAAACAACTTGTATAGTCAAGGGAAGCGGCGCTAAATGAGAGGACACACAACAAAAGATGAACAGGACAATCAGGCAACGTAAGAGACGGGGAGATAGGAATGACAAATACATGTATAACAAAACAGGAAGGCAGACCAAGGCCAATGGACAGGTAAACACACAAAACAATTAAAAGAATTTCAGAAAAATTTGGCAGAGAGAACAAGGAAAATATGGCAGAAAAAATATAGATATTAATATCTTAGAGAAATATATCCGGATATTTGTCAAATAAAAAGTACAAAACAGACAAGACAAACTAAATAAAGCTGACAAATATGGCAGATCAATAAGGAAGATCAATAAGGCAGATCAATAAGGCAGATCTATAAGGAAGATCAATAAGGAAGATCAATAAGGCAGATCAATAAGGCAGATCAATAAGGAAGGTCAATAAGGCAGATCAATAAGGCAGCTCAATAAGGCAGATCAATAAGGCAGATCAATAAGGCAGATCAATAAGGCAGATCAATAAGGCAGATCAATAAGGAAGATCAATAAGGAAGATCAATAAGGCAGCTCAATAAGGCAGATCAATAAGGCAGATCAATAAGGAAGATCAATAAGGAAGATCAATAAGGCAGCTCAAGAAGGCAGATCAATAAGGAAGATCAATAAGGCAGATCAATAAGGCAGATCAATATGGAAGATCAATACAATGGAAACCTGGAGAAGGTGACCCGATTTTTAGCCACACGGGAGAAAAAGCAAAGGTGAAAAATGGCAAAGAACAATACATTGGGAAGATATTAAAAATAATAAAAAACTAGAAGCAATAAATATGCGAGCCAAAACACAAGCAGATGACACGCAATACTACGTCCAAGGCACGCAATACTGCGTCCAAGGCAAGCAAAACTGCGTCCAGGGCACGCAAAACTGCGTCCAAGGCAAGCAAAACTGCGTCCAGGGCAAGCAAAACTGCGTCCAGGGCAAGCAAAACTGCGTCCAGGGCAAGCAATACTGCGTCCAAGGCAAGCAAAACTGCGTCCAGGGCAAGCAAAACTGCGCCCAGGGCAAGCAAAACTGCGTCCAGGGCAAGCAAAACTGCGTCCAGGGCACGCAATACTGCGTCCAGGGCACGCAATACTGCGTCCAAGGCAAGCAAAACTGCGTCCAGGGCAAGCAAAACTGCGTCCAGGGCAAGCAAAACTGCGTCCAGGGCACGCAATACTGCGTCCAAGGCAAGCAAAACTGCGTCCAGGGCAAGCAAAACTGCGTCCAGGGCACGCAATACTGCGTCCAAGGCAAGCAAAACTGCGTCCAGGGCAAGCAAAACTGCGTCCAGGGCAAGCAAAACTGCGTCCAGGGCAAGCAAAACTGCGTCCAGGGCAAGCAATACTGCGTCCAAGGCAAGCAAAACTGCGTCCAGGGCAAGCAAAACTGCGTCCAGGGCAAGCAAAACTGCGTCCAGGACAAGCAAAACTGCGTCCAGGGCAAGCAAAACTGCGTCCAGGGCAAGCAAAACTGCGTCCAGGGCAAGCAAAACTGCGTCCAGGGCAAGCAAAACTGCGTCCAGGGCAAGCAAAACTGCGTCCAGGGCAAGCAAAACTGCGTCCAGGGCAAGCAAAACTGCGTCCAGGGCAAGCAAAACTGCGTCCAGAGCAAGCAAAACTGCGTCCAAGGCAAGCAAAACTGCGTCCAGGGCAAGCAAAACTGCGTCCAGGGCAAGCAAAACTGCGTCCAGGGCAAGCAAAACTGCGTCCAGGGCAAGCAAAACTGCGTCCAGGGCAAGCAAAACTGCGTCTAGGGCAAGCAAAACTGCGTCCAGGGCAAGCAAAACTGCGTCTAGGGCAAGCAAAACTGCGTCCAGGGCAAGCAAAACTGC